CGTCTGTCACGAATCAGAGAACCCGAACGCCCCACAGGAGCCGGGCGCTGCGCCTCAGTACAAAAAAAAGCACAGTCGGGGGCTTTCCACCTCGCCCCAGCACGCTTCGCAATCAGTGGCAGTCCGTCTCAAGACACCCCCAAAGCGGCATCTCAGTTTATGGCAGCCCAAAGCATCAAATAGTTGCAAGTCAGTTAGGCTGCCCAGCGCGCGGCGATCTAACTGCCAAATCTCCTCTTGTGTACCATGCAACACCGTGCAAACATGCAGTCACAGCAGCTGTGTCACAGCGAACGTAAACATAATGCATATGCGCCAAACTACAAGGCCCTTCCGAAGCGCTGAATTTCCATGCATATTCAGGAGCGCTGCCGACAGCAACCTTTTTCCTGCACGTCTGCTCCCCTAAGCACTGCTTCCATTAACTGTTGCTCCCTGTCCGTTGGACTACTCCATCTTGCGTATCCACACAGCCCAATACGCCTCAATCACGCAGACAGACAGCTATGTGGCCGAGACAAGCACCGCAGACAGCTATGTGGCCGAGACAGGCACCGCTGGGATAACTAGAAGCATGCTGAACTAATGCCTGAATTAGCAGGACGCTCCCAAATGCATGCCACAAACCGGTAGGATGCTGCGTATGTTTCCCCAAACTAAGTGAGCATACTACATGCAAAGACCTCCAGACCGTCCTGTTCAACATATTGGCCCTAATCTAGAGAGAAAGAGCAAGAAACGGAATATTCTGCTCCATCCTATTTTAACTCCCTGCTATGTTAGATGAAGGTGCAGGCCAAAGCGAAAGATGCGGAGTCTCGCCCTAAACGCATACATACAAACACTCCTCTGATAAAGCTCTCGTTTTCAGTTCTAACAATTCGACTATATTCGGTTGAATAAAACTCCTTGACGCCCCTGTATCTAATAAACCCTCGCATCTATGCCCAACTATCTCGAGCAGTAACACCGCCGTTTTTCCTCCACTGCAAATTCTACATAGTAGCCCGTGGTGTTCCACCGTATCTCCTTGCCACCAAAACCACGATGGTATTATTCGTTCGTCCTCTCCTCCTTCCCTTTCTTCTATTCTGCTTTCACAGAATGCGCACTCGTTCTTTTCGTTTCCGTTCCCGTTTCCTCGTTCCATGTTCCTGCTTAACAGCACCACATGCCTCTGGGTTTGCTGCCCAGATTCATTCCCGTTCGCTTCGTTCTCGTTCGATTCGTTCCCGTTCGATTCGTTCCCGTTCGATTCGTTCTCGTTCGATCCGTTCTCGTTCGATTCGTTCCCGCCTCTCTCACGACCACTACATCTCAAAGTTTTGGAGACATTGATGGCGTTGGGTCCAGTAACAACCTGACCCGCAATGCCGCCATTGATTAATTCTGGCCTAGTACGCTTGTTTGCATCAACGCCTAGGCCCCCTCGGTTAATCGGTTAGCTCCCACATTAGGTTCAGAGTACAACGTATTATTTGATCTTGGTTTTCCGGCCAGTGTACGTCGACCAGTTGCGCGACCAGTTGCGCAATTTCTGGCATAGTGGTCCTTCCCACCACAATTAGAACAAGTTTCACCTATCCGCCTCACTACTCCATTGCGCAAAGGACAGTCTCTTCCCATATGCCTTTGCCTGTGCATTCGTAGCAGCGTATTACGTCTTGCTCGCCCTCAGCAACTACTATCGTTGTCAGCGAGGCTCGCCGAACTGTATTGCTGGGACTTCCCATAGAGTTTGTGCCCCCGCTAGTGTTGCCTGTAGTTCCGGTAGTACCAGTACTAGTACTACTAACTCCAGTCTAGCCAACGCTTCCGCCTTCCAATCCCTGCGGTATTTCCACACTCTTGATCTCCCGTTCCATGCGCCTCCTCTTCGAACGCCAAACCATCAGTAGGGTTGCATATTCTCTTAGCGTGGTGGCCGCCTCCTGCCAGCTTGGAAATTCCTTCTTTCC